GTGTGAGTATAGTTGGGTTTTCCGGATCAGTTGATACAGGTGTGATAGGTCGTGAATTAACAATCCCAGTAACCTCCGCAAGTAACGTGACCAAGACCTCGTGAGTGAGCTGCTTCATAGGTGTCTGGGGTAGAAGCGAATCAAAGATACGACGCGCTACCCCAATCATTCGTTCCCATGCTCCGCCAAAGTGGGAAGCATGGGGTGGGTTGAATACCCAGGTAGTTCCTTCATCTAACAGGAAGCGTTTGATGGTCTTGTCTTCCACATTTACACAATTAGACGTAGAATCTTCAGTGGAACCCACAAAATTAGTCCCACAATCAGATCGGAATTCGCAAACTTTTTCTCGAACTGCGTTGAGAAAGGAAGAAGTAGACATCTCTTCCACCACTTCAATGTGTATCGCCCGCGTGCAGAGACAAGTAAACAGGATTGCCCATCTTTTAGCGTTCGCACAGCCCCCTCTAGTCTTTCTAACAGAAACATTCCAGTGTCCAAATGTATCCACTCCCACATAGCTGAACGGGGGTGCTGGCTTTAGCCGATCAGACGGAAGTTCAGCCATGATTTGAGTTTCATTCTTTCCCCGAAAACGACGACAGGTTACACAGTTGTGAATAATAGAGGAAACTTGTTTCTTCATACCAAGAATCCAGAATCCTGCAGCTCTTATACTGCCCTCTGTCATGTGACGTCCCTGGTGGTATATTTTCTCGTGGAATCTGCGAAACAACAATATTCCAATATGACACCGTTTTGGTATAATAATCGGATGTTTCTCCATGTCACTAAGCTCCGAGTTATCGAGCCTGCCGCCAACACGCAACAAGCCATTCGAATCCAGAAATGGGTTTAAAGACAGTAGGTGACTTTCCTTTGACAGAGCCTGGCCCCTTTCCAAGACTAAACATTCTTCTTCAAAGGCTTCTCGTTGAGCAGAACGAATGATCAAGGCTTCTACTTCTTGTACATCTTTGGTTTGGCGACTAGGACTCATTCCGTTCTTGTGACGAACATACGAAACTAGGTATCCAATACCCGAAACCAGACTGGACCACGTTGAGAACCTTGTAAAGCGTTCTGTTCCTAAAGACGCACACGATTCCGTCTTCGTCTTCGCACACATCACCTCGGGGCGAACTTCCACGTCCGCTACCGCATCCACAAGCTCATACGCCTGATCTTCATTCGCACTACACATAATATCCAGAGGAGGTTTCAGCCATATGCTTTCTTTAAGGTCCCTTGATCGAATCCCTCGAGTACCGATATCCGCTGGATTCTTTCCCGTAGGGATATATTTCCACTGTGTAGGTTTAGATACTTTTAGTATTCTGGACACCCTGTTTGAAACGTAAGTATAAAACCTCCGAGAAATATAGCCTAAAACTACGCGGCTGTCTGTGTGGAATGTAACACTATCAAGCGATATGTCCAGGTGCGTAATGACCGACACAGACATCTCAGCTGCCATCATAGCAGCACACAACTCCAGTCTGGGGATGGTATGACCATGTTTTGGTGACACTTTCGACTTTCCAAATATAAATCCGGCATGCGATTCACCATTATTGTTTGTAGCTTTCAAGAACGCAACACACAATATATCTCGCTCAGATGCATCCGTGAATATGTGAACTTCGCGGGTTTGAGTTTTGCCGAATCCGTCCGGCACATACAATCTTGGAACCTCCAAAGCTGATAGATGAGCAACATCTTCACACCAGTCCAACCATGCATTCTCCATAGCATCTGGTAAAAGATCATCCCAGCCGTGAGCACCGTCGATTAATTCACGAAACAAAAGACGTCCTGGCAGTATCACGGGGGATACCAATCCCAAAGGATCATAGATGGTGTGCAGGGTAGATAATATCCCTCTACGAGTGAAAGGCTTTTTCTGTAGGTCGACCTTAAAGGTAAAAATATCCAAGTGTAAGTTCCATGACATCCCAAGTGTGCGCTGTGTAGGTAGGTTATCAAGACGTAGGTCCATTATTTCCAATTCCTTAGCCCTATCAGCGGGTTTGTTAGCCGATAAAACGTCTTTGTTGTTGGACGCTATTTTATGCAGCCGTAAGCCAGATTGCTGCAATACCTCCTGAGTCCTAGTAACAAGACTAACACCTTCTTCAACAGTTTGAACCGAGAACAAACCATCGTCGACATAAAAATTCCGGTTGACAAAGTCTCTAACGTCGTTCTCGGCGTCTTCAACCGATTTTCGTAACCCGAGAGTAGCAATTGCGGGCGACGAAGAATTGCCAAATATGTGAACACACATCCTATAGTCGATCAGTTCCTGCGTAATGTCATTGTTTCGATGCCATAAAAAACGAAGCAAGTTTCTGTGCTTTTGGGGAACCACAAATCGGAAAAACATTTGTTCAATATCCGCAGTTATTGCCACGGGTTCTTTACGGAAGCGCACCAAAACACCAATTAAATCATTTACAGTATCAGGTCCACTCAGGAGAACATCGTTAAGACACACCCCTTCAAACTTTGCCGCGGAATCGAACACAACACGCAGTTTGTTTGGCTTTTTGGGGTGGAATACACCGAAAATTGGAATAAACCACGATTCCTCGTTGAGATCCAAAGGAGGAGCTAGTTCAGCATACCCATTTTCAAATGTGCCCTGCATAAACTCGACGAAGTGCTTGCATTTTTCCGGATTCTTGACCAAACTGTTCCGCAAAGCTGTCGCACGTTTTAGAGCCATATACCTGTTGTTTGGTAGAGCTGGTCGAGAAATACGAAGAGGAAGTGGAGCCATCCAACGACCGTCATCTGATTTGCACATATCCTTGTCAATTATCGAAATAAATTCCTGTATCCTCTATTGAAAGTCCTGGACAATCGTCATGGAGAGTCCTTCGAAATATATCTTGTGAGTCATTATTCGAACGTTCTTGGATACTGAAGTAACTATTGCACGGGTCCATAATAGAAATTCGTCCATCGATTAGTAAGTTTGTTTTGTTCACAACAATTTTATCTGGTACATGAACTTTATTGAGACAACTTTCACCAATCACTACCCAGCCCAGGCTAAGCTTTTGTGCATAGGGAGAGGTTTCGCCAATGCGCTGATCGTGGACGTAGTGTGCCTCAATTACATCTCTACCAATAAGCAAGAGTATCTCCGCATCTTCATCAAGTGGATACATAAAATCGACCAGATCTTTTAGGTGTGGATAAGCTTGAACTACTCCTGGAGTTGGAATCTCTTCTCGGATATTAGGGATTTCCTCACACTCCCTCACCATAGGTAACTTCATAGCCACAGAACCATCCAATGATTCCACCACAAATCCTGATGCTTTCCTCCCGCTAAAACGAACAGAGCCAGAACATGACCTCAAGTAAAATTCCTCTGGTGCTGAATGATCTCCAACCAGGTCGAAGAATTTCCCGCGTGCAAGCGTACCATCACTTTGATCTTCAATAAGGGCATAGAGACGGAAAGCCAAATCAGGTCTGCCTTCAGGGTAAGCTTTAATAAGGACTGTCTTGGCGCATGGTTTTCCCTTATATCCCACATATCTGAGTGCATTTCGAAGCTACTTCTGTTTGTCCTATAGGTTCTGAGGGTTGTTTCTTCTCCTCGCCATGAGTGAGATTCTTTTCATGGGTGCCCTCCCCGCCATGGGGTGTTATGGAATCAGAATGAAGACAGGTATGATGACCTTTACTTTTACATTTGCTACAGGTAAGTTGAGCAGTGCAATTCCTAGTAAAATGAACACCGTTACAGCATCTAAAGCACACACCTAAATCTTTAACTAACTTCTTCCGTTCATGAATTGTCTTCTGCAAGAAGGCTTTGCAGTCACTTAAGGAGTGAGAAAGCTTGTGAATGGGACACATACCAGATTTAAAGTCATTAGAAGTTAGTGTAGTTTGCGAAGTGGTGTACTGTGAAGATTTCATAACCATAACCTCTTTCTTTTCCTTTGTTCCTAATTTTGAAGTCGGAGCCGTTTCATACTGAAAGCCCGGGTCATTCTTGATCCTGCTCATTTCTTGAATAAATTGAATAAGGAAAGAGAAAGGTTGATAACCAACTCCATATCGTGCCTTGTAAGAAGCGGCCCTAGTTGGCCATTTTTCTTGAAGGTTAGTTGGTAGCTTTTGAATAACAGGAATGATACCTGCAGAAGTATCAAAGTAAGAGAATTGTGCTGAGAAATTCGGATCGTTTTTAAGTGATTCTATTTCTGTCACTAAATCGAACAATTGATAGAGACGCTTGTTTTCCTTGTAAGAAATTTGGGTAAATTCTGCAATTCGTTGCTTAACAGACTGTTCTATCAATTCGGGGTATCCAAATCTCTCCTCAAGTCTCTGCCATATTTTGTAAACAGCACCAGAAGGATTTCCTGCATTCGAAGTCCTAATGCCTGTTGCATATCGTTTAGAGTCCGTCCCAAGGTGAGTAATCAAGAGGTCCAATTCGTCAACAGGTTTCAGACACAACTCCGAGGCGATTGATTGAAAACTATTTTTCCATGTCGTTTTATTACGACACCTCACATTCCATACACACAGTTCACAAATAATTCGTTTGATGCGTTAGATGATTATACAGTATGTCGTTAAGCAATATGGGTATATAAAACGATGTGAAAAGACGTGAAAATACGTGGTTTAGCTGTAAAGACAAAAATACATATTCTTTAATATCAGTAAAAGATTTACCACAACAGTCACTATGATGAATTCAATGCACGTGGGGAGGGTTAGTGCATAAATGTCTTAAAATATGAAATTGCTTAAATGACATGTCAGGAATTATATTGCCGTTAATTCATATGTTCGTTAACGTTGTATTTAAAACATTATTACTTTACACTTACAACTTGTGAGGGGGTATATGCGTTAATTAATGATCAATAGAATTCTATGAAATATAAAACAATGGCGGCGTTTTTTAATAAGGCGGTTCGTTACGTTGATCATAGTGCAACTTACAGATCTAGGGCTTACTTCGTTTAATGCGTTACTCTTAATACAAGCGTTGTACTAATATTTCTGCCGTAACAGGTAGACATGTCAGTCAGAATATTAGCAGGAAACATTTGCTGGATGACTTGCGGAGCTTGTCGATCGTGAATAGTTTGAGGACTAGGTACAAAATATTTTGCCGTCGGAGACAAACCACGTGTCACATTGTCAATAGGTGGATCAGTATTCAACAAATCGTCATCAACAGGTGGATGATCAGGTAAGGTACTGATGTAATCCTTAACTTTTTCTCCCGGAGATGGCATTTCCACTTTAATGTCCCTGTGTACCTCATGGGATGCAATAGAGTCCATAGAGTAGTTCATTTCCACCTCAGCTATTGCAATGTTTTTACGTTCCTTAAGAGCAGTCAACCGAGATTCCAATTCAATAATTTGTTTGCGTAACTCACGCTCTTTCTCGAGAAAGGATAAGTTCGTATTTGCGACCATTTTCTTAGCTTGAAGAACTGATGTTCTACATTTAGTAGACCCAGCCACTGATCTCGTCTTGTAGATGCCATTAAGCGAACGTTCAGACATGTTTTCCACAATGTCCAATTGCATGTGAGATATTGCATTCAAGAACTGATTAACAATGTCTGACCGTTTCTGATCCAATGCCTTTTGTTTTTCTAATTCATTTTCACTTTTAGAAGTACGGGTGCGTTGCAAGTAATCAAGCAGAGGGTCAACAGATTGGATATATAAAGAATTGAGTCTATTTGTGTCATCTTCAATCTGTCTAAGAAATCCTAAGTCATATTTAGATTCGTCGGTAATGTTATTGAACAAGTCTTCTAAATTACGCCAAGCACACTTCACCTTTTCAATCAAAGTCTGAACACGCGCAGAATAAAGCTCGTGACCTTTTTCTGTTGAAGTTCTCATACGAGGATCACGTAACACGTATCAAGTAAAGAAATTCACAATATTCGAAAATAAACATAAATGAAAATCTAGCATAAAATGTAGACATGCATATGAATCATTGAACGAGTAATGTCACAATAGCATATGAATGAGACTAAACCACTGATTGATATACATTTAAAAGTGATACTGATAGTTCGTAAAAATGTACTACATCAATCACAATCACACAATACTCTTATTTAGACAACATAAAAACAAAGGCAAAAATAATGAAAGTGAAATGTTCTTCATGCAGGTCATCTTAATCAGTAAAATCGGATGATAAACACGTTCAATTTAAAGTTTAAAAATGCACAAATTAGTCAATTAAGTTATTAGAGTTCACAATAACTGTTATAAAGAACATGTTTCTTAGTATACGTATAAAGCCACCATAAAACCGTTCATCATCTGTATTAATTGATACATATTCAAAGGTTCCATCCTCAAAAAGACGTTGTGCACGAGCAACCATAACTCGGCCTAATCATTACATCCGGTAGTCACGGTTTTTCTACTGTGCAGCTTCACACCCTGCGTCATGCCCAGTGTGGCCTGTAGTTACCACGCCCATTGTTTAAAATCACAACCCAGTTGAAATTTCGTTGATATTTATTCTCATGGACATAAGGTAGAAAACTGAAAAATTACAAAATAAGAAATTCACAAAAATGAATAATTTGGTCGATATGACTCAAAACTTATAAAAATCTTTGCAAATGCCAAATACTAAGAAAAACATGCTTCAACACACATATCAAGAATAAGACATAATATCTTAACATATTTTAACAATATTAACTAAAACTTACACCGTGGTGCATCCAAAAAAGAACTGTAAACACAATTGGCGTCCCAAGTTCAAGCACGTTGCCGCTCGATCAAAAAGTAAACAATAGTTAAATCGCCCCGAGAACCGTTTCGTACCCAAATTATTTTTGGTAACACAACAGTCATTGACATTGGCTATTCGCTGATACTTTCATTTCTGATGTCTGACCTCTACTTCCGGTTTCACAACCTTCGAAATGTAGAAACTTAAGATTGTTCTGGCACGTACCTAATAAACCCAGGTTGATTCTTTCAGAAGTAAGTAAGTACGGTTTTAAGATGATATTTTAAGAATTATACCAAGTTAATAGGTATGTAATCCCACTTATCTTGAACAAATTTGAATGTTGGCAGTGAGTCAGCAGGTTGTAATTACAGCATCTAATGATAAGATTAAGATCAAATGGAGTCACCAGACTATAAACTAATTATAAACTACAAGCTTAAGGTAGGTGTCGGGGATGAGTGTCTCTAACTTCAAAATGGCTTCTTCTAAATGGTGTAATACAAACCAGGAAGAAAGATCATTAAACAAAGATAATTATCCGACATAGTGTTGTTCCACTCAAATCAAAGTTAATTCACATGCAACTATTTGGTTGAAGACTTTCTTAAGTCCCAGCCTTATTAAAGTTGTATCGACGCAAATCAACACAATTGTGGAGATTTGCAACACGACTATAAAGGTCATTTCAATTAACTTTTCATAAAAATCCAAACAGAGCCCCATGGGGTCAAGTGCTTTCATACGATGCAATTGAACAACACAATGGTTAAAATCTACATCCCTCCAAAAGTTGCAAGTTTCGTATTAGATTACTTTGAAATATACTTGAGACTAGCAATATGATAAGTGATTCCATACGGACGTCATTCACACCATTTATAACCTCTGGATGATTTGATTATCCAATCTCAATTAACAAGTGTTCCAGGTAACACCGGAAAAGCGAATAATATATCTTGTAGACACATTTCACCAAGCATTATTTTCAACATGTTTAATGACAGTAGCCGATTGCTTTTTTGATAGCCGACCCTCAAAACTATTGGGTACTATCGGAACCAAAACAATCCTTTGACAAACGGCCCTTTAAGAAAATTTAGAACGTCCGATTCGTCCTGCCGTCATGATCTATTGGTCGGGACTAAATCAGGCCAAAAGAAGAGGACGATTAGAAGCGATTCAAGACGAGAATCGGACCGATCAAAGAAATGTTTAATCGGGGACCAGATCGGACCGATTTAAAACAAAACATCCCTGGTGAAATGGTGGTATTAACTAGATTGTAAAAGTGTAATTTAATAAGTGTCAAGAAAGTAGTAGCTTATTATTATGTCTAAGTTGTTAAATAATATTAACATGCATAATACCACCTTTAGAGGGTAAAAGTACATCGATTTAATAAGCTTCAATAATAGAATACTTAGTATAAATCTATAAATTTATATACTAATGATAGTACAATTATTCCTGTTCAAGTTGAATGTATGTCAATTCTGTCACATGAAAACGAAAATCAATCAGAAAGGAAATTGTTACAATTTCCGCTTGATATCATTGTCTGTGGTATATTCCGGTTAATCAAAATATCAAGTATCGTGGGGAATTTAAACTTCTTAATCCCTGTCGCTGATCCATTTCGAAATCTTTTTTTTTTTATGAAAGAACAAAATCATATAAATTGCATCAAAATGTACTAAAGCAAATTGTCATTTATTGTCTCAATCGCGGTTATATCGGGTGTCCCAAAGTTCAACAGGTTGTATCTCAGCTGTTGGTAGACTGTTCTCACAGATAGACTTCAAGATGTCGTTGTCCAACCCTGAAAATATGAAAGGCGTAGAATAAAAAAATGTACAAGTGCTGCTCCGAACAAAGTAACATGTCAAAAATGCAATATCAAGGGAACCTGCCTATTTCAACCTGTGCCCTCCGTCTCCTTCGCCCGCCAATCGAAAGATGCCAACTAGACGGGACCTCAACGCATATTAGCATATCTGGAGGAAACTACACCAGAATTTGTTCGTTCACAAGAATGACGTGCCACCCCAATCCCCAGAATGTAATCCAATGGATTATGCCATTTGGGATTCTCTGAAGGAAAAGGTGGGTCGGTGGGACAAACTGACTGAACAGGAACAGTTTTCTTCACAGATAATTTCGTAGTAAGCCACACCCCCAGCACAACCACCGAAAGTAAATTGTATTCATGATTATGTAACAAAATAAGTTGTGAAAAATAGTACGAATATCCAGCCTCAATCTTATATCAATCACTGATGGATTTTTGCTTAATGATATCAAGTCTCTGTGTCTAGATGTTTTGGACAATGGATTTTATTTTATATTTTCTGCTAGACAAATCTGTAACCTGGCCTGTTACATAAACTGATGTGCCAAAAACACATGCTCAAAAACTAAAATACAACGTCGTACTACAACGGTTATAACAAAATAAGAAGCCACTATCCAGACCTGTCGAATTTATAGCATGTTTTCATTTGTTCATCTTTTTAGGGAGCCTCGTCTACATCGGTTAACTCATGAAAACTGCTATAAATATGACTTAGACAAGATGAAACCATATTTTATGTATGTAGAATGTAGACATTCGCTTACACTATAGTTACACATATGATTTTCTTTCATTGTGGGACTTTGCTACCGCAAAGTCCCAGTTTGTTATCGAAATGTCCATTCTTTTTGTGGGACTTTGCTACTGCAAAGTCCCAGTTTGTTATCGAAATGTCCATTCTTTTTGTGGGACTTTGCTACCGCAAAGTCCCAGTTTGTTATCGAAATGTCCATTCTTTTTTTTTTTTTTTTTTTTTTTTTTTTTTCGAAATTTACACACCTTCCTGAGCTTAAACTGCAG